CCTTCCCTTCATCCACTAGGCGGGTGACCTTATCGTAGAAGGATATCAAATTAGTTAAACAGGATTTTCCCTTTGTGAACCCATGTTGACTGTGCCTGATGATTGCATTATTCTTTAAATGCCTTTCAGTAGTACCCAGTGTAATCTTCTCTGTAATTTTTCCGGAAACTGAGGTTAGACTAACAGGTCTGTGGTTCCTTGGGTCTTCCCTCATGCCCTTTTTGTAGATTGGAATAACATTGGCTAGCTTCCAGTCAGCAGGGACCTCCCAAGACCTTTGGTAGATGATCGAGAGGGGTCCTGCCATAACATCTGCTAGCTTCTTCAGAACTCTGGGATGAATCCCTTCAGGCCCCATGGACTTGTGAACGTTCAGCTGACACAGCTGGTCCCTTACAATTTTAGTGTCCACAAATGGAAAGTCACTGTTCCCACACTTGTGGTCCTGCTGGTCCTGGTTTATCTGCATTTCCTGCTTAGACCCTGTCTCATAATCAGGGTTGACTCGAGGAGATAGAACTGTTTTTTCTTCCCGGCCACTTGAAAACTTCCTTCTGTGTAGACATCCTCAAATTACTATGCTGTAAGGCTGTACATAGTTAAATTTTATGCATTTTCTGAGGGCTTACTCTCATGTTTTTTCCCAGCAGGTAGAACAGGATCTTTACCAGCTACCTGCTAATGTAGATTTGGGAAATCAGGGATTTTATCCCTCTCTTGCTTGTGTTCTTTTTGCTCTGTCTCAGAGAAAAGCATTTATAATTAGTTAATGCAGACATTTCTAATTCTTCTTGTTCTCTTCTCCAGCCTTAGGCAGTATTAGAAATAGCTTGCTATGAATATATTCCTGGTTCTGCTCATATTTAAGGGCTCCTGCAATATCCCCTCTTCTAATTCTTGAAAAGGGGGCGGGAAGAAGCTTTGAAAGCTTTTGAGAAGTTAGGGGACTCTCTGCAATAGAGCAAGTTCAGCAGGCAGTTTTGTCTTGTTTCTCTGGGGAATATTAAGATTCAGAATTTCTTTAGGAAGAAGGTCAATCTGGATGCACAATGCCTCTTAGAACATCATCTGGTCCTCTCAAAACTGGATACTTCTGTTATCAGTTACTGTAAAAATGACACCCTGTTTCTTGGTGCTTATCCCTCTCCTCAGATACACAGGGCTAAATAGGACCTGTCATGTTGAGCTTTCATGGCATCTCATGAGAATAACTTCTGCTTATCACGTGCAGCAGTGGGAATTTACCATAGCATCCATGCAGCCTTCTTCTGTTGCAGTTAAGAGTAGGAGTACTGCTCACACGGAGCTGTCATTCCTGCATTGAGAGAGATGCTCCAGTCAGGCTGGCAGGGGATGTTTTTAGACCTGTTCAGGTGCAAGAAGGTTGATTGCCCCTTCCTGCTTTCACCAGGAGGGTGGTCTGCTGGGCAGCCACGGGAGGTGGTGCAGTCTCCTGTTACGGTTATCTGCAGAAGTTATGTGCCTCTGCCTATATATTGAGAAGCCAGGCAGCTTCTTTCCAAGAAGCTTTTAGTCAAATGTATATTTTCTTGAGAAGAGTTCCTTTGGTGCTCTAAATGAAAGGCCTAAAACCACCTAAAAAGGTGGTTTTCATCATTCATATAGGGGACCTCTAGTATTTTCTTGGTAGTGGATCCTTGTGTAATAAATTAAACCTGTTAACTGGTTTTCTTTAGTTACCATATGGAGGAGTTGTGGGTTCTTCTGTAAGATGCTGGTCTTCTGTTGGCACTTCCTTGCTGTCTGAGCTGTTTATTTCCTCAGTGTCTTAGTGGTCTTTGGTTTTGTTGTCCCCCAAACTGCGTGTGAATAACTTGCAGTATGTTGTCCTGTTGTGCAGACTGCCATTAGTGTCAGAACAGAGTAACAAAAAGTTTGGTCTTGGGTTAAATTTGCAGTTGTGACTAGGTGGAGTGTTTTGACTAATCTGTTTTTCAGAAAGGAGGCCAAAACCCTAGCATTGGACTAAGATGCTGAAATCTGTGATTTCTGATGTGTTAGCTCCTATCAGTTGGAAAGTTTACTGTGCTATTCTTTTTCAACAGTGTGACTGAATGTGTTAGCGTATTTTGTTCCTGCACAAGGTATCGATGTGTTGCTTTCCCCATGTAATTACATGTAATTACTTTATTTTTCCTATATAAAATAAAGTACGATTGAATTAAGTAGTTTGGATTAAAAGACCCTTCTGGAAAGTATTTAACAAACATGACAAATCTACCACTTTCCATCAATAAAGAATAGCAATTGAGGAGAGCATCATTATGTTGTAGTGCATTTGGTTTAAATTGCACAAATAGGCCTTTCGTTCCAAACTAATCTACAAATGGAAAAGGCATCCCACACTATTTTTACTTTGAAAATCATCCTCTGGTGTTAAATCTCCACAGCAGAGCATAATTGGATATGTTTTGACAGTAGTTTTTTATTTACTTTATTCACACCACTTTTAGCCTGTTTACCATCCATATTTTCCATGTTGTGGCTGACAAGTCTAAGACCCACCCGAAGACAGCAGGGGAAAATAACGCTTCAAAGCTGCACAGCATGTAGCATGTCTCTAACATGAGATCCATCATATATATTTTTGGCAGACCATATCCCTATACAGTTCCCTGAGAGAATCTAAAAGCAAATGGAGTGACAGTCTGGATATGTAGAAAAGAAAATACTGGCTTACAAAGGTATTAAATGAAAGCAAGCAAAGCCAGTAGTTAGTGCCTTACATGCAGCAAGGAGTTGGTTGTGCTTTGAAGGTGAGCTTTTGCTCTTACTATGTACATCCATTGGAAAATGCCTTTTAAATGTTTATTTAGGAGGACTTCTGTGTCCACTTTAGTAGGCATAGCCTCTATCAAAGTGGCCAGTGCATCTGCCAACGTGCATCTTGGCAAGGTGCAAGAAGCTCTATCATACTTAATCACCTTCCACATTGAGTAAGGTGTTACCAGTTACACCAACCCTTTGGAAGAGCACAAGCTTGGAAGCTGATGTAATATTAGAGCTGTCTGAACTACGATTTCAGTAGATTCAGCAGACAGCCTCCACCATGATGTTTGTCATTTTCTTTGGTTATCCATAGTGCATGAGTGGTTTGTGTCTATGTCCACGTCCTGCCGCAGTGCAGTAGACCTACTGAGCCTAAGCCTCATCTGTGTGATGTGGGCAAATCCGCTGAGACGAGGCTGATGGAGTTTCACTCCACAGAGAATCTCACCAGCTGTGTGGCATAGGCCTTGTAATTTGGTCCAGGTTATTCTGCAAAAGATGTTTTACAAAATATCCTTGGTAATTTTTATGTATTAGGCCTTTTTTTTCTTTTCCTCTGCCCCAAATGTTCACTGCAGAGGCTGCTTATTCTGCAAAAGATGTTTTACAAAATATCCTTGGTAATTTTTATGTATTAGGCCTTTTTTTCTTTTCCTCTGCCCCAAATGTTCACTGCTACAGAGGCTGCTGAACAGCGTTCACATGGGCTCCCAGGTAATCCAGGGTTTATGAAGCTCTGGTCTTCAGTGCTTTTTGTACTGCGTAGGCCATGCTTCCCCATTTTCTTGGCCAGATTAAGGTGCTGCTAGTCCTGGCCCATGGGGCTTAATGGCCTGTTCAGTGGTCTGTTCTGATGGGATGGCCAAATGAAAGCCCCATCCCATAACACTAGCCAGCAAATGTGTGTGAGATGGAGGTGAATAAGAGGGAAGAAGAGTTCACAGCCACCTTGGTGGGGAACCTTAAGGAGCGGGTAAAACCTTTAGGATTTGAGAAGAGCTAAGCAGAGCCAGTCCCAGGAAAGATGCTTCGGCTGGATTTGCCATTCTCTTTGTTTGTCAATCCGTTAGAAATGTTGGGATGGAAGATAGCATAGACTCCATTGCTTAACTGCCTTTTTTGGCTCATATTTCCCCAGAATGAATCCAAGCTATTGTTTCAGGCTAGTTGAAAACTTAGGCAAAACTTCTTTATATGCAACTCATGCCTAGGTAATAGGTTAAATTACTTTCAGTAGTGTTTGTTAGAAATACTTTGGGTTTTTAAATTACTGCAGGTTAAAAATAAAAATGAATGGGAAATTACTTGGGTTTTTCCCCTTTTTTTTCAACTCTCCTTTCTCACCAAACATTTGTAGCTTCTCAAGAAACTTCACAATTATCTGTAAATTGCAAGCACAGGCTTCCCAGGGAATTTCCCTAAGTAAAAGACATTTTCCATTCAAGTTTCCAGGACAAAATGTTCCCTCTTCCTAGGGAAAGCAAGTGCATCCGCACTGGCAGAGCTCAAGAATGAGTTTTGTGCCTAACTTTATTCAAAGATGGAAGATTGTTATTTATGATTATTTTCACTTTAAATTTATAGGGAAATTACTAGATTATTCCTCAGGCCTAACTTTCATTACGGTGACTTTATTTCTCATGCTTGCTTTATTTTTGCATATTTTTTCCTCCCTTGCAGCAGCCATTCAAGCAGTGATTAAATAAACGAAACATAAGTAACGTGCAGTATGGATGCCAAAGCATAAGTAAAATTATATGCTTACATTATCTGTGAATGATTATTTTTGCTTAGGTAAAGGAACTGGTAGGTACTTCCTTTTATATATTCTTAATTGTATCTTCTTAATGTTCTTGCTTATTACTGGCATGATCAGCTTAACAAACTCCAAATCATCCTTGTTGCATTGCATTCCCCTTCCCACCTGTACAGGCAGGATGAGTTATCTTTGGGAGCTGAAGGAATTCTTTAGTAACTAAAGGACAAAAATACTGGCTGACTTAATTATTCTTTTTTTTGCAAAATGCAGAGGGCTGCATTTGTCTTAACATCAGATCTGCTGTTGATACTGACAAAGTGCTCTTTCTGCTGGCAGTTCAGGACTTGCATTTACTGTGGTCCTTTGCATACAATTACGCCATGAAGTACCTTTGTAAGAGCTTCTATCAATAGTGTAACCAACTTGTTGTTGTTGACTTTTAACTCAATAACCCCTGATAGAATCTCATCGTACAGCAAGTGAGCACCACTAACTTCTCATATGCTTGCTCATCCTCCTGTCTGCTGGTATGTAATGGTTTTAAGTAACAGTTCAACTACCTGTAGCTTAAAAGTTCTGACTGTCCTGAATTTCCCTTTGAAATTATGTTACCTATACAGTAAAAAAGAGTGTTATTGTTTTTTAGCAAACCTGGAACCTGTCAAAATCCACAAACCCAACTTACCTGTACTGCTTTCTTCGTATCTTTTAACTGGGTGTTTCCAATTACATACCAAAACTGTCACCTATGCGTGTACAATATCTGTCATCCAGAAGGATCAGAGATAGATAAGGTGATATTTAAACTCCACATAGGTTTGCTTTGTTCATCAAAGGAATATACCTGTCTCTGGTGTGGAATACAGTAAGTATTTTTCAGCAAAACTTTTGGCATTTTGCAGACAGAATGTAATTACCTATCTTTTTTTAAAGCTAGAAGAGAAATTTAAGGAAGATATATCTGCCCTTGGTAAAATGACTGAGACTTACTTTCGTCTCATCTCTCAAAGACCCCTTTGAAAGGCAGAGGCACTTAACACTGTGTGAAGGACATTTTTTCCTTACTGACTTGAGATCCAGCTGCTGTGAGTCCCATCTGGCTCCTGATGACATTAGTGGCAGAACTCCTATCCATTAACAATGGGAATGGAGTCGGGCTTTCAAAAGTCCAAATTTACCTCTGCAGTGCTTGAGGGTTGTGTCATTGCGCTACAGCCAAATGGAAATATTTTAAGAAGAATCTGTGCATGGTACTTTCATCTGTATAACTATGGTTAAGATCCCTCAAGCGAATAAAATAGTCCATGTCAGTAGGATGAAAAGCTCTAGAGACTGTCCCATGGACTTTCTTGAAGGGGCAAGCCACTGCTTTAAAACCTTTGAAAATACGTCAGTTTCTGGAAATCTTGAAATAAAGTTCTGAACAAAAAAAGGGGGGAAAAAATAAGGTATTACTTGAAATAGATTTCCCCTCACTGTCATAGTACACATAGAATTCTTAAATACCTTTTCTTCCCCTCTGTAGTTTAAAAATAATCCAAACATCAGAGCAAGCGCTTGTTTTAAAAATCTGTTACTGTTTCAGTAACAAAGTTAGAGTTACAACCAGAACTGTGAGCAAAAATAGATTCAGCTGGCCAAAATCTATCCCTTGAAACCCAGGGGAGTTCTGTCCACTGATGATCTAGCTTGAACTAAGTAGATCACAGAGTCATTTCTTAGTATGTGTCTGTATAAGAGCAATATAAGGCTTTAGAATGTCTCAGAAGCGTGTGCAGAATATGAATGGTTTAGATAGTTTATTCAACTCTTATTAATTACTAATATTAATTATAAGTAATTTTTCATATCTTATGTTTGAGCTATTGCATATCAAGATACAAATCAGATTAATTTACTTTCAGGGTACATGACTTTTGATCTTGTGAATATCCTAAAACACTCTGCCTGTGTAACTCATTTTCATTTCTGTGGATATCCTTTGCTAATTCTCTCCTTGACCTGCTTTCTCTTCCTTTTTTATTTCCCCAAGCAGAACTGGTTGGAAATCTTTCAAAATGTAAGTGAAAACCAAAGATTTTTCTGAGATGCAAATGCTATCCATTTCCTGACCAGTTCTACCATAGATGCTTTTCTTCTGAAGTGTATTGGTATTTCCTTTCCTCCCTTTTTTTTTTTTTAAGTGATTTCTTTTTTTCACCTTTCTGTGGTCTTCTGCTTTTCTTTGTCATCATCCCTATTTGCAGTCACTCCCTGTGGGATGCTAACCCCATAGTAGCACACCTTCCCCCAGGACATTGCTTCTGTAATCCCCGGGCCTTTCATTCTATTTTTATGCTTTTTTGAGAGGATTGGGATCAGGAGTAAGTCCCATGGGCAGAGCTTTTGAATCCAAATTATAGCCCCTTTATGTAAAAGCAAACACTAGAGACTCGAGAGCGGGGCAGATCAGGGATGTCTTTTTGGCATGCGGTTGCTCTGCTCCATGGAACTATAGCTTTCCTTTTATTGAGAGTCTCTCAATACAAACTAACAAATAGGAGTAGATCTAATAACATGAAAATGGGCATCTTGATTTAAATGCCATCTGTTAGAAGCCTTGTTCACTAATAACCTAGACAGTAGGAATCCCATTTCAGTTCCCACCTATTCTGTCCTGTGTTTGTTTCCTTGGAGCAAGAATTTATTGCTATTTTTTAATGGAAAATTAGTAGCATGTGATTTTTATTGAGCCACATTGCTCTGACTATTAGCTGCCTAGTAAAATCAAGTAACTTTAATTTTATGCTAATTTATGATAATTTTTACCATCTTTAAATGTAAATTTACCCTAAAAATGAAGAATCTGTCACTTAAAATGCATCACATGCTTTCTTGTAATGACTGATCTTAAGGAGTTGGTTATAAATTCACCTTACAACTAGTTTAGTATGGATGACTTCTTTTAAGCATTTGGCATCCTCTAATGACAACCCCTGCGGTGGCAAACCATCACAGAGTAAATGCAGCTGGCTTGCTGCACAATCATGAATGACATTGCATTTAGTTATTAATAATTGAAGGAGCTTTGTGTATTCCTTCTGGGTTCTGTATATAATTTATGGATCATAAAGCTACTCGAAAATCTAGGGGAAAATAATTCTGTTGAGCAAGAGGTTAGCAAGAGGCTTTCTTTGCTAATAACTGGGGCCTTCTATTATATACATTTCTTTGAAAATACTGTAAATAAGAACATTTGGAATGACTGATTAATTTGCTACCTTCTAGTGTTGTCCTGTCACTGGTTCACAAAAGCCTGTTTCTTATTTCAGCAAGCTCTACAGACGAGCATTTAGATGAACAGGAACTGTGAATTACATACCACTCTTGTATTTTCCACCTTTCAGCCTTACCTTTCAGAAATGGGTAATACTCTGCTGTTTCTTCTGTAAAGAAAGCAGATGTGAGGTCCATTCCTTGAAACCTAAAGCACTTTCCCATTTTTTAGGTAGAAGAGCAGTAATACTCTGGACACGCCACTGTGCCATTCCTCTTAAGAAATATCTATGTTCAGTGTGTGCGTTTAAGAAAAGGTTTTAATCCTCACTGCTGTGAGTGTGCAAAAGCACTGTAGTGGTAGCATGAAGATGGCAAGACTAGATTTTAAAGCAGTTTATTATGTGATAGTTTAAACAGTCTTGCTTGGTTTGTTTATTTTTTTAACTGATAGAGGGGTTCAAGGCTGGTGAACTGGTGGGTGGCAACGATGATGCCTTTACTCAATGATGAACAGCCCTCTCTCCTTTTTTTCAGCAGGAATAAAGCATTGCACAGGGTCAGTCCCTTCTTTAACAGACTTGCAAGTATTGCATTCTGTATTGTAAAATCAGTGGCAATGCTCTAATATTTTCCAGTGCAGAAGAGGACACTGTTAGTTTTTAAACATATCGTGTTGCAGTAGTTCCCACAGCACTGAGTGCCATAAAACCAAAGGGGAAAATGACAACTTCTAGAGCAAAACCAGATTTTTTTTTTCTACTGTTTGTTTTTAAACATGTTTTAATACTTTATTGGCAGCTAGTGGCTTAATATTATATTGCTTTTAAGGTTATTTATAAACTGATCACAATCAGAAATGGGACTGGACTACTACCTGGGTGCTATACTTAGTTGCTCCCTCCGTCAGAAAGAGTCCTAGCTGGAAAAGAGTCTTTGAGAGGAGGCAAAGAAGTACTCCAGAAAGCTAGTGTCTCTTCCCCACATTTTTGATAGTATCATTTTATATGAAAAAGGGGAGAGGATATTTATGCAACTCATGGGAGTTTATTTAATATCTAGTCAGTAAAATAATGGGGATTTTTTCTTTTCATTTTTTTTGAAGTGTAAATCGGGACCGTTCAGACATCACTTATTTGTGACCATCCCCTACTTGCTCCTGTCTCTTGTGCTGTTACATGTCTTTTGGCTTGTTTTATGTGTGGCGTCCAATCCACAAGCAATTTGAGTCAGGCTTTGAAACCAGCCTGCATGGACATTACTTTGATAGTCATAATTTCAGATTATCTGTCAGTTGGCTTTACTTTATCATCTTTTGCACTGAAGCAGGATCACATCTCTGTGGCTTCTAAGACTGCTTCGATTTGTTTTTACAGGAATGGTATAACAAACTGCCGGATGCGGACAGAAAGCGAACAGTCCTGTGGCTCTCCAGTTGTTAGCGGTGACCCAAAGGAGGATCACAACTACAGCAGTGCCAAATCTTCCAACCACAGGAGCACATCACCTGCTAGTGACTCCGTTTCCTCTTCCTCTGCTGACGACCAGTATGAATTTGCAACTAAAGGTAGCCAAGACAGCAGTGAAGGCAGTGAAGTTAGCTTCCAGAGCCATGAGAGCCATAGTGAAACAGAAGAGGAGGACAAAAAGCAAAATCAGAAGGAGACCAAGGATTCTTTAGCTGACAGTGGGTATGCATCCCAGCACAAGAAAAGGCAACATTTAATGAAGGCAAAAAAAGTACCAAGTGACACACTGCCTCTTAAAAAGAGACGTACAGAAAAGCCCCCTGAGAGTGACGATGAGGAGATGAAAGAAGCAGCAGGATCGCTCCTGCATTTAGCAGGAATTCGATCCTGTTTGAACAACATCACCAATCGGACGGCAAAGGGGCAGAAAGAGCAAAAGGAAACCACAAAAAATTAGAACAAATCAATGATTTGTTTGAACTTACAAAGTTTTGTTTCAGCACGTCAGGTGAATTCTAATGATTTGTGGCAATATCAGCAATTTTTTCCTTTTTTGTTTTTCTTTCTATTTGTTTTTGTTTCTTTCTTTTTCTTTGGGGTTTGGTTGATTTTTTTTTTTTTTTGGACCCTTAAGATTTTTATTTTTAAAGGAGATTGAAGCCATAGAACTCATACTGACACTCAGCTAATTTACAAAAGCTTTTCATTACCTGAAGACAAAAAGTTAACAAAAAAAAAAAGCCAAAATCGCCATTGCTTTCTCCGGCTTGTCAAAAATGCATGGTTGAATATGCAGTGACATCAACATTAATGTGATGGGAGTAAAATTGGGCTCTTTTACTAGAAGAGCTGTGCATAATTTAGTAATCATTCAGGCCCTGGCCCTTAAGAATTTTGTTTAATGGCCTTACGATTGGGTTAGCAGTGAATGTGAATAAAGAGAGTTGGGGGAAAGAGGAGGCACGTACTTCTCAACACCAAACCAAGAACCATCTAGTGGCACTTGGATACGTTGTGCCATAGAAGTCTTTGGACAGCCACTGGTGGCAACTGCGCAAACCGTAATGCACTTTTAGTGCTTCACCTACTATACGTGGCTCATAATGTGAAGACTGATAACTTTAAGTTTGGGGAAATTTGAACTGTGTATGCAATGGGTTTCAGTGAAATAAAGAGAAGAAATGGGGGGGGGACACACGGTTAGTAGCATCGTTAATCATGGAATTCTGTCTTCTATATTAAATTAAAAGAATGTTCAAAAAGCCATAAGCCCGAAGATTGGCACTGCGTGCAAAAAATAATAGTAATAGGGAAAAACAAGCTATGTCTTCTAAACTGCCTGAGTGAAAAGCAATCAAGTCTAAGAAATTACAGTAGATATTAAGGAAGGAAATACATCAGAATCTTTTTCTGTGGATCAAATCCTTGATCTAACTGGGGAAACAAAGCTACAAAACCTGCCATAGTAGTATTCTGTACTAAACAAAAAAAAGGAAAGCATACTGGTGAACAGTAAAATTCAGAAGTTCAACAAAGAGAGCTCCTACACTGCCCTCAGAAATGAGTGTGCAGTTACCGTCAGTCAGGATTCATCTGTGCAAAAATGACAACAAGTTTCCAGATTCAACCAGTGTAGCCAGCAGAAGAAATTTGATCCACGTTGCATGGATTCCTTTTGGGAGGGCGGGAATACAAAATGCAAACAATTTTTTTTATTCAAAGATGACAGTTCTTGTAAGGTAAATAATGTATTTAGCATGAAGCATGAATTATTTTCATATAAATATAGAAAATAGCGAAAAAGGCTATGCCTCTAATTTTTAAGCCCTTAGGCTTAGAGTTTGTTTTTTGGGGTTTTATTTTTTTGTTTGTTTGTTTTTGTTTTTGTTTTGGTTCTTTTTTGTTGTTGTTGGGGTTTTTTTGAAGCAGGTGTTTAAGGTTTAACCTTCTTCAGGGACAAACACTGACTGTTGGGGAACTTACTCTGCAATATTAAAAAATAAAATCTTCATGCTCTGGTAGGGCTTGGATGGTTGAATTATACTGCCTTGTCTGCACATTCAGCCCCCCTCTCCCTACTTCTGTTTAAAAAAAGAAAAAAAAAAAGAAAAAAAAGTAAAAGTGTGTCCTTTCTTCGTCTGTACATGTGTAACATGACGCAATAATCTGAGGGCAAATTTAGTAGTGAGTGTGTATGACAGAATCAAGAGAATAACGGGAGGTTAATTGAGGAAAACTCTCTGATTTGATTCAGGAATAAGTAGACAAGAAAATAGCTTTGCTAATTTGCCATGAGAAAATGAAGTCAGTAAAGAGCCTTACTGAGGTGTCCAGAGAAAAAACAGTATTACAGAGAGTGTGATTCAGGTATAGTGCTACTCTCCTGGTAATGATTGGCGATCCCTACAGCAGAGGGAAGCTGTGAAATAAATAAGACAGTCTCTGTCACCTGGATTCATGAATTTGGCATGAAAAATTCTACACTTAGAATATCCTAGAGGCAAGAAGAAAATCCCAGGAACCAACCACTTAACAGAACAAAATGGTCTGTTTCTTAAAAAGAATATAGGTTTATGTTTATCCCTAACAGCTGTTTCAGGCAGCAGTTTCACCAAGACGGATCTAGTTTATGAAGAGTGAGTTAGAGAAGGGTTTGACTTCCTACTCAGTGTGGTGAACTAAAAATAGCATTTGGAGATGCCCGTGGTGCGTGTTCATTTAGGCAGTGGAAGGACTGAAGGGCAGGCTGGCCTGGACCTGTTCCTGTGCTCCACAAGCATTTTCATGTAAAGAACAGGGCCACGCTGGGGGCAGCACAGCAAAACGGTGCCTCTCACCCAGCGTGTCCTGGGATCCAGGAGCTGCCTGAGAGCTGCCAGAGCCCAGCACAGCTGCCAGCTATGCAGATAAGGAAGGAGAGAGCCAAGGATGGTGCAAGGGACAGCTCTGCGCTCCCCTCAGTTTGCTGGGGCCGATGCATGCAGGGTTGATTCCCAGCGTTAGTTAAGTCAGGAGTACATGGATACTAACTTTTGTTGCCTGCCCACAGCCCTTAAGATAAAGTTGGGGAAGACAGGAAGGACTGGTCCCTTGGCCAGGTAGCACAGAGATGAATGAGCCATAGCTGTTCCCTTGTGTGATTGGACTGGGATAATTGGCTTCTTCCCAGATCCATGCTTCCTACAGCCGGAGTCTGCAGGCAGTGAACCACACAACCCCTGCACAAGAAAACTTGGTCCTTCATCTTTTTATGGACTTTGGGGAGAGTAATTTGAAATATAAAATACTACAATATCAGTTTGCCACCACCTTTGCTCATTAATGCATAGTTGTATCAGCTTGCGAGTGGTTTAATATCTATCAAAAAGCAGCATTGAAAAGTCAAAGTTAGTGGCAGAGAATAAACCATGGCTCAGCCATCTCTGTCCTCCGGAGAAAGTGATGTGGTTGTGTGCCGGTGGCCAGATTTTGTCCACAGTCACGACACTAATTCCAGAGCAGCTTCACTGATTGCAGTGTGTCAGTGCAAACGAGATCGGTATCTGCTGAACAACAAGTACCATTCATTAATGTGGACTCTTGGTGGCTAAATATATAATTACCACTAGTATTACTCACCTTAGAAAACAGTCATTTTGCATAAATATCTAATTAGGCAGGTTATCTTTATACATATATATATATATAAAAAAAAAATCTAAGACTTCAACAACTCCTTTATATACTTGGTGGTAAACCTAAAATGTTGGCAAGCATCTATTTTCATGTAAAATTTGTTGCTCCTAGTCTGATCCACTAAGGAGGTATTATTCAGTAGGAGTTTACAAAGTTATGTTCAGGAACCAGCAGCTTGGCTGAGGGCTAACGCCATCAACAGATTATTTCCAGAGTTTAAAAACAACTTGTCCTTACTGACCCTTACTCTGACTATTGATGAGAAGTACATAATTTGGATTTGTATAAAATATTTAGGAGTCACCTTTTAAACCATTTTTGTGCCTGGCTGACAATGGCAGCTTTGTCAGAACTGGTTCTACTCCATCAGAGAAGTTCTCTTTTTTAATGAGAATTGAGACCGATTTGTTTTCCAAAAAATATGTCAGCTTTTCAATCCAGTTGTCTCTACTTTGACTGAATCATGCCAAAACGGAGTGGCAATTGCACTGTATTACGAACTCTCTCACTTGCCAGACATGAGGTGGTTTGGTTTTGCTTGTTTGTTTCCTTACTAAGCCATTTTGGGGTGAGAAGTCGTCGAATCTCTAACTCTCCATTTTCCTCACTCTATCAGTATTGCCAAATTAGCGTTTCTCCAAGACAGGTGGGGGCTAGGGGAGTCCCAGTAGGTCAGCAAGCATTCAGTGACGAGTTTCACATAGGTGTGAATTGTAAGGGTCGCTGGACTTCATGGGGGGTTCCTTTGGAATATGCCTTTTGCAGCAAGAAGCTCTTGCAGGCCAGAGCTAATGCCACAAGCAGATTTCACTGGTGTCTGCAGGGAGGTGAAATCTGCCAGTCGTGCTTGCGTTCTGCAAGCAGTTGGATGTCCTACTGCATTTTGATGCAGATTTTGCCTGCGTTTAAAAATTCAAGCACAGGTCTTGAACAGCTTTAATGTATCACCCCATAGCTGTTTCTGAAAGCAGTCTGATTCTGATCTTCTCCTGGCAAAACCAGCAGTAGTTCTGTTGAGATCACAGGGTTTTACAGCTGAAAAGCCTGATGTGGGAGCGAGGAGGCGTGCTGTGTAGGACTAGAGAACTGTCCTGTGACTGTGTTCTCTTCTCTCTGGCAATTCAGTTGAGGTCCATATTCTGGCTCCTCTCTTACCTTAATGGGAGAAGGGAGTCCCAAAGGAGGTGCATCGGCTCCCAGTGTTCGACTGAATTACTGTTTACCTTTGGAAAAGATACAGAGAAACTCGGGGGGGCTGCATTCTTCACTGGAGTGAGGTAGAGTTACATCAACATATTTTAGCAGAGAATGAAATCCTAAATTGTACGCCAAATGGCACCAGGGATAAAATGACCAAAACAACGCTTTGTCCCATTTTCTTGGTGGCCGCAATTGATTTTCACTGAGATTTTGGCTCCCAAATCATCTAAAGATGTAGATAGGTGCAATCTGAGGTTTTCTAGGACCTGAAGGTGTCTGATCTCCTTTGTAGTCAGTGGAGCTATAGACACCCAAGTGCTCTTGGAAATCTTTTATCGTTTCACTATTACTATTACTACCATTTTTCCTTGAATCTGGCCCTAGGCATTTTTGCAAACATTACTCTCCCATGCTCCGGGATCAGAATAAAACTATCAAGAGAATGCATTTCCAGTTTCAGATGCAATGCAGTTTACTTCACTTCATGGAGAATGCAAACCCAGCTCCTTCAGGTATGTCACTACTGCCTGAATAGCTCATTGGCATATTTTATAGGAAATATTTTGAAACGTTTTCTTGACTTTGCCACCAAAAGAGCATTTGAACCATACATCCTCCTGATTGTAACAGAGTATCAGTGTTGACCGTCTGACCAGTTAAGTTTTAGTAGTGTTCTTCACAGCCCTCCAGTAATATATCAAACACTGTTATGCACATAATGCAGCACTGTGATCTAATTTAAATAATATCACTACTGCCTGAATAGCTCATTGGCATATTTTATAGGAAATATTTTGAAACGTTTTCTTGACTTTGCCACCAAAAGAGCATTTGAACCATACATCCTCCTGATTGTAACAGAGTATCAGTGTTGACCGTCTGACCAGTTAAGTTTTAGTAGTGTTCTTCACTCCAGTCCAGTAATATATCAAACACTGTTATGCACATAATGCAGCGATCTAATTTAAATAATACTTTTTTATTATTTATACTCCTCTATGTAATATACATCAACACTTTGCTATATAACCTAAGTGATAACCCTCTTCTTAGTTATCTGCCAAACTTTGAATTTCTGTTTGGTTTATATTGCAGTTAGCACAGTTACCAAGTTGTAATGATGTCTCTTTTCCTTTGAAATGGGATGTGTAAGTCAAACTATACATTTTGTGTTTCTGTTTTGAGCTGGAGTTTATAAGGATTTACACACAACATTCGGTGTTCTGTATAAATCTGCATACATTTGTGAATTCATCTGTTAATCCCCTTTTATTTAGAAAGTATTAATTGATGGTGGTTTATTAGGGGTTTTTCTTTTTGCATTTTTATTTTTAGTACTGGTTATTCTTGAATTAAGCAGAGACTTGTCAGCTGGGTTGCTTTATCTTTGATCATGTACGTGACCTTATAATTCTTCCACAGTTCAGCAAACAAGTACTAGCTTCACTGACCAAAAAAAGAAGTCTCAACCCAATGTGTCTATGGTGCTGTATTTTGCTGGTGTACATTTAAAACCAGAAATGATTTAAAGGTCACTTTTGAGTTGTTCTAATAAGTAGCCTTTCCTGGTTTTGGGAGTTTGGGTTTTGTTTTGTTTTAGCATTGAAACAAGGTATATTTATCTGAAGCTATATAATGGTTTTTCTACTGTATCACATTTCCTTTTGCAAAGGGGAAATCAACCTGATGTAACATCTTTTCACAGTCAACGGAAGGGGGTTTTGTTTCACTTTTTTATTTTCAGTTTATTTCATTGGGCTTCAGATCAGGCCAGCAGTTACAAGAGCTCATCATCTGAGGGTTTAAGGGATAAAAAACAACTTGTGCTGGCCCTCAGTGCTAGAAGGGATTTTGCCGGATGCTAAAATTACATGCTGGATTCTGGGATGGCTGATGTCTAGAAATGGGAATCTTTTTCATTGTTTACTCTGGCCTGAAATCCCAAGACTTTCTTTTTTCGTTCAGATGACATTGAACTTGAGTACATCTTTAAGTTGCTAGAGCATTGTACATTTCCTGAGTATGTGTGTGGGACAACAATTGAAAGTCATACCTGTATTTGATAACCAGTTCCATGCCTGCATCATTCACACTCACTACTTAAAACTGCCATGATGTAAAATGTTGGGGGGAATGATTTGTGTGTGTATGAAAAGCATTATGGACTTGTACATTTTTTTTATACTCTGATCTGTAATTTCTGAAATATTTTGTTTTACAGAAAAAAGTGATAAAGCAATCAAAAGACCAAGAGATTTAGTATCAATGCTTAAGGGTCACAGGACCTTAACTGGCCAATAAGTTAATTTAGTACAGTGATAAGCCAATTTTTTTTCCTGTACTTGGCGTCTGAAACTGCCAATTTCATCAATATTAAAA